CTGCGGGGCAGGGGGCTGGCCGATGGACCTGCCGGCTGACCCGCTGGGACACGTTACCCTGAGCGGGAAGCGCGGGGCCGTCCTGGGCAACTCTGGTTGCAGACCCGCTTTTTTCTTCGTTGCCAGAGTTTTTCTCGCCTACGGATAATAGTGTTCTTGAAAAGACCTTACAAGAAATGTAACACACCCTCCTCTGGGGACACGTTTCCCGAGAAAGTACTGCACTTCTTAAACCTTTTCGTGGCGGACCGGCCTTGGCCTGACGTTTGAAATGGTGGAAAATTTTCCAGACCCCGCAGCGGAGACAATAGACTGCACTTGCCTGCAAGCACAAGGGCCAGAAGGTAATGGGGCAGGACCTTATTTTGCTTCCTTAGGAATGTCTTGCTCAAGCGCTCCACCTAAACCTCGGCTCTTGTTGTCCGTCACCCATATTATTTCAGGAGACTCCCTTTGGAAGTGTTCTTTCTGACTCCGAGGAGCTGCCCGCTGCCGCGAGGTTTCCTCACTGCCCCCCAGGCATTACAGACTCGGGCGCCCCCTTCGCTTAGCACCCTCCGGCCCTGCACACAAGCTGGTCCCCAGCCTTCCCTGTTCTGCACAGCCCCGCTGCTCTTTCATGTGCACTGAGTCACCCTACTGCCTTCCACTTCTGCAAAACATCTTGCCCACGCCTCACTTTTTCTTTTGCTAACTCTCCTTCCTCTTTTCTACCCCAGAGCTTCTTAGCTCAAGTCTCTCAGCACTCCCACCACCGTCCAAGCCACATGAGTGAACAAATTAAACCAAATGGAAAAATTAATGGGATTATTGTGACAGCCTCCCTCCTGAGCTGTCCATTTCTGTCTCTTCACATAGTCACTTCTCAATGTGGCAGCCAATTGGATCTTTTAAAAATGGGGGTCAAGTTGTGTTATCTTTTTGGCCTCAACCCTCCAGTGGCTTCCCATCTGCCTAAGGAGTGGCCTCAAGGTCATAGGTGATGTGATTCGTTCCATCTCCTACTGCCTGCCTCCCTCCTGTGCCTGAGCCCCTACCCCTGTCCCCCTCCCCCCCTTTCACTTTATTTCTAGCTCAGTGCTTCCTAACCAAGAGTGATTTTGCACTCCGCCGGACAGGTGGCAATGTCGGAGACATCTTTGTGTGTCAGACAGATGGTCACAACTGGGGTAGTAGATGGTACCCACTACTAGCATCTGGGTAGTGGCCAGGGATGCTAAACAATACCCAGGACAGCCCCCCCGCACAAAGAATTATTCATCAAATGTCATAGTACTGAGGTGGGGAAACCTCATATCTGAAAAGCTCCAGATCACCACTTAACTGTCTCCTCCCACTCTTCAGGTCTCTGTTCAAAGGACACGTCTGACACGTCTGTGATCCCAAGTTACAAACACTCTTGGTTATTTTTCTACTGGCTGACATTTGATATGTTCTACTTTTTAAATTGTTTTTCTTTCCCCACTAGTTTATGAGCTCCATGAAGGTAGGAATTGTTGCCTATTTTGTTTACTTTGGAATCTCAAACACCTAGAACAATGACCAGCACTTAATAGGTATTCATTTGTTGAATGAATGAATATAGAATATATATTGTACTACTCAGTATTTTAAGTGTTACATGTACAGTGGGGCCTTGACTTACGAGTTTAATTTGTTCCGATACCGAGCTCGTTAAGGAGCTCGTTAACTCAAATTAATCTATCAACTCAATGCAAAAAATCAGCCGAGAGAGACAGCTGGTACCTCAAAAAACTCGTTAGTCGGGACACTCGTAAGTCAAGGCCCCACTGTACATGAGGCAGGCACTATCTGTTTTATCCTCATTTAAGGGGGAAAATGAGGAACTGACGTCTCAGAATTCATAAATGTCAGAGCTAGAATTCAGACCTGGGTCCTTACCCCTACTTATACTGTTGTTATGATTGAATCATTGTCCCCTCCACCCCCCTCAAAAAAAGGGTATGTTGGATTCCTAACCCCCAGTACTTCGGAGTGTGACTATTTGGAGATAGGGTCCTTTGATAGGAAATCAAGTTAAAATGAGACCATTAGGGCGGGCTCTAATTCAGTGTGACTGATGTCCTTATAAAAAGGGGAAATTGGACATAGAGGCGGACACACATAGAGGGAAGATGTTCTGAAGGCACACAGGTAGAAGCCAGACACCTACAAGCCAAGGAGAGAGGCCTGGAACAGCTTCTTCCCTCACAGCTCCCGATGAAACCCACACTGCTGACACCTTGATCTTGGACTTCTGGCCTTCCCAACTGTGAGACAATACAATTCTGTTATTAAAGCTACCTACTATGTGGTACTTTGGTACAGCAACCCTAGAAAAGAATTAAAATGCCTATCAGAATAACTGAACTTTGAACTTTTAAAAAATATCTTCACACGAGGATATGTTTTTATTCGTTTTAGAGAGGGGAAGGGAGAGAGAGAGAAACATCCACATGAGAGAGAAACATAAATCGGTTGCCTTCCTACACACCCCTACCAGGGATCAAACCCAAAACCTTTTGGTTTACGGGACGATGCCCCAACCAACTGAGCCACCCAGCCAGGGCAGAATTTTGAACTTTTTAACCAGTTGTGAGTTTAATTTTCTACTAAGTGAGTATAGAAAATACTCACTTATCTGGAAGTCAGGGTCATGATTTTGACTACTTCAAATGATTCACAATTTGATGGTTTTGTTTACTTATGTAATTTATGTTTTTGTAGATGGAAGAAAGTGCTTATAACTTGACAAGGTTTTATTTCTTTTTTAAACAAAGGAGCAAGATCCTTTTATTTATTTTTATTTTAATCCTCACCCAATAATATGTTCTTAGAGAGGAAGGGAGAGGGGAGAGAGAGAGAAATATTGCCTTCTGTACATGCCCCAACTGGGCATTGAACCCGCAACCCAGGTATGTGCCCCGATCTGGAATTGAACTTGCAGTTTTTGGGTGTATGGGATAACATTCTAACCAACAGAGCCACACTGGCCAGGGCTTTTTCCTTTTTTTCAATTACAGTTTATATTCAATATTATTTCAGGTGTAAAGGAGCAGCCCCTTTTAAGTTAGGTATTCAAATCAGCCTACATTTTTATTTCATACAGTGTCAACATTTGTACTGTATTAACTAGGCATGAAGTATTTGGAAATATACTATTCATTTGGATATCTATTTACAAATATTCTTCTCAGTTTTCTCCTGAGATCCTAAATTTTTTTCTTTCCTCCATCATTTCCCCTAACACTGGCAGCATAGTAAGGTACATATATGGAGTACTGTGTTTGGAACCAGCCCATGTGGCTGAAATCCCTGCTGCACCATTTAGCTCTGTGACTTTAGGCAAGTGACTTAAGGTCTCTGAGCCTCTGTTCCTCTTCTGTAAAACAGGGATAACAGTACCTATTTCACAGGGTTGTCATGATGATTGAATTACCTATTTTTTTTAAAGTTTTTGGAAGAATGCCTGCTAAGAAATGTGTTTGTTAAATAATAATTTAAAAAAACACAGTTAGATGGTAACATTACATAATTCTTGCCTTTAGGAACTTGCAGTCAGATTAGGGAGTGTGGGACTCTTTCTTCATCCAGCCATCAGTACAAAACTTAGACTCATCATAGTTGAGAAAAGATGTGCAGAAGATAAGAACTCTGACTTAGGTGTCGGACTACTCACCCACTCACATTTATGGAGTATATCCCATGTGCCAGGCACTGCTAGACCCGGGAACCAGAGAGACCAGGTCTCTGTCGCGGAGGCCATGAGGAAGGCTGCCCTGAAGCAGGTTGACTTTGGCAATTCCTGAGAAGGAAGTCACACCAACTTGGCATGATGCAAATGCTATTACTGTAGTACCTTTCCTGGGCCAGAGGAGAAATTTCTGCCAGAGACCTGTGATCAGCTCTCTTTAGTTCTCCACAAGCTGTTTCTTCAGGTTAAGACAATTTCTCAACTACTTGAAGTCATTAACGCATGTTTGTTCTAACTCTCACATATGTTAGATAGAAGATCACCTCATTACCTTTCTCTCCCCACCACGCCTCCCCCCACATTTGGCGGATATCCTGGTTATCATTGGAGCTTGGCACCGATGAGGAAGCCAGCCTTCTCAATCAGGAGGCCCTCAGCCCCTGGGGACACAGCCCAGTTGACACTTGCCCCTCCCTCTGCTAGAGGAGGCTGATAGCAACACATCATCTAAGTGAGAAAGAGAAAACACAGGTGACCGAAGGAAAATGCAAAGGCTGAATATAATTTCAGAAAGAGTATTAAAAGAAAGAAAATGTGAAAATCACCCTGCATCATTGAATTACATTTTGTTTTATTTGGCTTATTCTTAACTGAAAATATGGACAAACCATTTTATTATGTCTCCATTTATCAAACAGGAAGTTGAATTTTAGAAAATTACTGCTCACGATAGAAAATAAAATAACCTGGGGTTATCCTTTTGTTTAACAAAGTATTTTTATTCTGAAATTCAATATCATATGCCATTGCTAATGCACATAAATCTAGAGATTTCCACCAGGTATAAACATGCCCATCATGTCAACCTTTCATTTCTTTAACGGCATCTGTACAGCAGACAAATAGAGCATACGTCTCTTACAGTTTGTTTCTGTATGTTCAAGACCAGTTAGTCCAGATTCGCCCCATAGCCTGCAGGATGACAAGCATTTTTGCTTATTTTCCATGTAAGAAAAGGACCAGAGCGAGACAATTTTGTGCACTTCCCTTTGTGACTAGGCATCCGAGGAATTTAATAAGCAACTTGAATAAAGGAACTGACTAGTTATATTTTGCTGCTGCAACAAATTACCACAAGCTTGGTGCTTAAAATAAGGCAAAATTATCTTACAGTTAAGACACTCTCTGCCAGATGTTTGCCACAAGTC